AGTTGTCTCACTGTGAACTTGTGAAACTCCTGTCCCAGTGCAGGTAGCAAGTGGATGACTGTGTTGTGGCAGCTCTCTTATACTCCGAGAGTGATTGAGCTTGTGCAAAAGCAGTTCTTGCTGAGACCGCTGTGCGTCTGCTGAACGAAGAGGACTCGTTGTAGGAGCATTGAATCGAGAGAGTTTGGTCTGCCCTGAAGGTGAGGGAATTCGATGCAAACTGGGTTCTCGTAGTTGCGATGAAGACGTCTTGACTTCCGGGTTGGATTCACCGTGACCCGTACCACCGCTCTCTTCCGTCTCGTACAGCAACAGATCCGAAGACTGACGAGAGTGAGGCCGGCATGTGTATGATCGTTGTCTTTTCGTGTGCTGTTGATGATAAACTTTGTGCAGGAGAGGCTGGTTACGTCCAGTTTTTGTCGACTTTCCTGAAGCCGATTCGTCGTCAGGAGGACAGGATGACCGAGCAACAGGGCAAGTGAAAGTGGAGCTAAGACACTGGCCGACTTTAGCGCAGTCTGTCCCCGAAGTGGTAGTGGCAAGTAAATTGGTTGACAATAGATGCAAATGCTGAAGCTTAGAGTTATCGTCGGATAGGGGAAGAGAGCAGGATTTGGACCTCGTCCGAGGCTGCAGAACTGAGAGCATGCATGAAGAAGGCCTCTTGAAGCCGTTACAAATAACAAAATCATCCTCCATATCGTGTGCGGCTTCTTTTTCTACTATATCCTCTTCTTTTATTCTCTCAACGCCTTCTTTTGTCAACTCGTCATTACTTCGCTTTGGAAGCTTCATTTCATCTTCCATCGCGAGGCAGACTTCAACGATCCTAGATCCCTTGCTGATCACCGATTCTTCTGACAAAATTGCGGCTGATTGAGTGGAAAATGAGTTAGTTGACAGACAAGTTTGGCCTTCAGAGGGCTCTGAATTCGAGTCCTTGTCAGAAAGGAAATTTTGCACAGAAGACGAGACAAAGCTGTTTGGAAGAAAGGGACAATACAAAGTCAATATAATACTAGAAACATTAGTTAGTTTATAAATTTAAGTCATATACCGATACAAAGATAAAATACATTTTTGAGAGTTATGTAGTAGTGATGACCTCATGGAAGTAGAAAACTGTATTTCAGACAAAAAACAAACATTGGATTAAAGTTATAGTCATACTAGGTCGCATAAGGCGATGAAAGATTTTCACAATTATAAGAGTTCGCCTCACGTTTCCATCAAATTTCACTCGGCCTTGCTTCCCAAAAGATATAAGGCTTTGATCCATAACGGGATTAAACTCAGATTGTGAGCCTACATTGTATACTTTCGACATTTTACCTCTTCAAAGCAGCGGAACGAAATATTCTCATCTGTTGGGAAAGCAAGGCTATGCAAAATTCAACCAAAACCTCGGCTCAAATCATATGATTGTGAGAAAATGCAACTAGCAGTCCTTCATCCGCCTAAACGAAATAGGGTGAACATAACTCATAGATGTACAACTTAACTCAAAGGTTTAAGAGATTTAATGAATTTTCTAAAGATCCCTTGTTTACGGGATAGAGAAAACTAAAATGTCAGGTTTATGTGCTATGATGCTTGCGTGGTCAAAATACATTAAATAGGTTCATATTGAGAAGCGAAGAAAAGTTGGGTTTCAAGGAATCTCTTGTTTGATAATTGTTGAACTTACTTCCATTTCGAGTGGAAGTGTTGGGTAAAGAAGGTCGGTTCCACCAGAAAACGACGGCGGATCCCTCTTGACCAGCTGTCGATTGGCTTTACTCGAAGATTCATGCTAACGCTATTTCCGAGGCAATCTCCTTCGATTCCGGTGAAAAGGTGCTAAGCTTTCATTCGTCATATGACAGACATCATCAGAGCGACGTAACATCGTCCCAACAAAATTCAAGCTAACGAGTCAAGCCTAGGGGATAGTTATTCTCAAGAAATATTATTTTAAGCCGATTCAGTTCATTGTCACAATGGTCTACATCAGCTAGTCTTATGCTCCAAATAATCATAGATTTTAAAACTCCAACCTTTGTTTTAGAACTATGATTGGAGAAAAAGTAAAGTATAAAGCCAGCATGTGTTGGCTTTCTATAGACATCACTGCTTAACTTCTTACCTGCTCTGATCACTAATACATCTAAAAAGGGCAAAGTGTTGTTGACCATTGTCAACTTGTCCATCAAACTGGTTAATTAAAAACC